AACCCATCACATGCAGAAAATGAGAAAGAACTGACCAGGTGGGAGGGAGGAGCTGATGTTGGCAATGAATTCATAGCTTCTCTTAAAGTGATTATTTCGAGAGAAGAGACAGGGGCAGAGGCTGTGGGACACACATCGAGAGGTGATTCAGTATGCGTGCCTTCATTTCTCATTTCTAACACATCTTCGAGGAGCGTGCACGGCAGGGGTGGTTCTTTCTAAAATGTGAGCAGGGAAGATGGCCTCTGAAACTTCACTTGTTCTATCAGGCAACGGGTGCCCTATTTAAGATGGGTGAATGGGCAAAAATCACGTTTTTGAATTATTTTTCCCAGTGTGAACAGAGCTGTAGGAAAAAAGGCCACCCCTATCCCTTAATCACAGGTTCTTAACTGTTAGCCCCCAGGAAGTAAAGTACAAAGGGAAATTAACTTCCGTGATAAATATTTAAGAAAAACATTCTTTAATTGAGTTAGAGTGGAAGTAAACGTGCCAAATGGAATTTGCGATAACTGGCTCGATAGGTTTCTTGCAGATACAATAGGAGGCAGAAAACCTGCTCAGGTTTTTGTCTCTTCTGTCATTCACCAGGCTTAAGCATTCTTCCCAGACTCAGAGAGAATGCAGACTTGGTAATATCTCGATGAAATTACAGAAAGACAAAAGTAAAAGGACCCATTTGGTTGAAGCTTGTGAGCTGGCAGGTGTACCTGTAAGCCAGGATAATAACGGAGATGCCGTGCAAGTTTGGCTAGGGGTTTAGGGGATTGTTGCCGAATAATAAACTGTCCTTGAACGTTCTGGTCATTTGGTAACAAAAGACTGCTAGGGTCCCTGGATCCTGCTTTCTGGTCTTGTTGGAAGTCGGCCATTGTTACAAATGCTTATGCCGCGGGCTTACCTCTCCAATGCTGGATGTCCACATAGTCACCTTGAAAACTGAATATGAGGAACGGTTTATATAAAACTCAATCTGGCTACCCTGTCCTTTCTGGGTCCTCCTCTGACCAGCCTGTGACTTTCTTCTCCAGTGATTCCACATCATTGTCCTCCTCCAATTCCCTCCACCCCGTCTCCCACCCTGCATCTTTCTTGCTTCTTTTATGCCCCCCATGTGTGCTGACTCTCTCGTTCCTCTTCTACTAAATTATGCTCTATTATTTCCGCAGCCTGAAGAACTCACAGCTGAAGCATCATCCCTAACCTTATTTTGTATTCCTAGCATGTGCTGTAACCTGTTTTGAGTTTTATTTGCCGCCAAGTTGCTGACACAGCTCCAATTTTGTTTTCCTATTTTGATTGGGTAGGAGTGTTCATTACTGTGGGTACCAGACACGGAAGAAAAGTCATTTTCAAAAGGCACAATTTACACCTTCGTTAAAGGGCTTTTTTTGTTTCTGAATGCTGCCCATTTAAATTCTAAAACATTACAAATGTTCAAACATATTACTTTTTTTCTCTTGGAGAAAAAAGGTTTTAATGAAAATTATAGCGGACCAATATAAATGCCCTATTAGGCCTCTTATGGCATACTTATGATGGCTGGTCTCTCTTTGTGTGTCCTGACTGACCAGCCATGTAGGCAGGTGTGGAAGGTCTAGAAGCCAGGGGTTTGTAAGAAATGATGTTTTCAAAGCCCAGTTCAGCTTTGCAGTAATCAGCCTTCCTGGGGACACCTGCTTCATTTGTGACTGTGAGGAATGCCTCTTTCACATTAAGCATCTGTCTAAGAACTAGCTTATATGTCCTTAAGGAGGAGGGAACCCCTTAATGGGACATGAGGCTTCCAGGGAGCTCTCCCACAAAGGAGAGCACAGGGTGAGGGAGGCTTCCCACTTCTCATCTCTGAGTCTCAGACTCTGCTTTGGGAAAGATTTAGCTCCATGGGACTCCTTTACCCTAAACCTTCCTGAGCGCCACAGTCAGGGATAACACACGAAGCACAGAGGTTTCACTACCTTTGCATTTCATATAAACAATAAACAATCATTTGTGTAAGCATGCCTCGTACGATATTTGAGGCATATGTAAATGGAAAAAAAAATGCCTTTTATTTATTCAGAATCCAGAGCTAACTTGCCATCCTGTATTTCCATGTGGCATTCTGACACCCTTTGGCACAGTACAGATGGATACAGGTTTGAACATCTGAGGCACTTTTGATGACTTTAGTCTTTCTGCCTTATTTTCTCCATATGCACTAAGTCTGCTCCCTCACAAAGCATGGGTTATTCTCTCATCTGACCCATTTCTTTGCCATTTTCTCTCCCTAGATTGCTCAAGACTGCTTCCTCAGGGAGGCCGTCTGGAACATCCAACCTGAAGCAACGGCTTGCTCCAGTACTCTTCTGTGTGGACCATGCACCAGTACGAGTAGAGGTCCTTCTGAGAGCTGTGTGTAGCATTTCACTTGCATCCTCTGTTCTTCTCAGAGGACACCAGCCTTTACATAGCAGCCATCTTGCCTCATGGCTCCTCGTGTGCAGAGTCCAGGGCTAGGCCATTTCTATAGTTGGTGATCACAAAGTTCCTAGTGATTTAAAAGGGGACTCTTGGACTGGGGATGTGGCTTAGTTTGTAGAGCACTTGTCTAGCATGGAAGAAGCCCTGGGTTCCAGCCATAGCACCATGTAAACTAGGCATGGTGGTACATGCCTATAATCTCAGTACTAGGGAGCAGAGGCAGGAGGATCAGAAGTTCAAGGTTATCCTCAACTAAGTTAGAAGTTTTAGGCCAGTCTGAACTACATGAGGCCCTGTTTCATTAAATAAATATTAAAATGTAAAAATAAAATGAAAGCAACTTTTGATTGTCAACAAGCAGCTTATGACGGTAGCTTTAGCTTTCTGACACGTGTTTCCTCCTGCATTTCGGGAAGATGACTCAGGACTTCCTCCATATCATCAGTACTGGGAAGACAGACATCTGATGACCAGTGTAGGAGCCCAGCTTATTTCCCACAGATCCGTGAATACAAAACCAAAGGTCAGATCATGTGAAGAAGGCACTTCCTCTCCCTAACACTCAGTACCTCCTTTGAAGGAAGGCCCAGCACCTCGTCATTTCTGAGGATCCTGAGGACATACATTGTCTTGCAGAAGCGTAGGCATCTGGTGGCTGAAGTGCATTCTCTATGAAGACAGGAATATGGGACACAGTTCTCTAAAGTGTGTACCATTTAAAACTAGATGCTGAGCTTTCTAATGAGAATTTCAGGGCTAACAGCAGCATCAACTCTTTAAATCACGGCTAACCAGGAGGGACTTAAAAATGACAGCGAGCAAAGCAGCTGGTGAGCAGGTGGTGGGATTCTCTTGCTAACCTGGGGTGCTGTGTCATGGCCCCTGGGAAATACCTCTTGCCAACCATATTGGCATGGTGGTCTGAATTTCAAAACAGTAGAAAAGTTTTTTTTTCTAAGCGGGAAACAACAGAGGAATGGTGTAAGCTTTCTCTTTCTCTGAAAACTTGAAAACATTTCCTTTTGTCTTTTTCTTTTCCATATATGGATGCCCACACCTTATGGGAGGAGTCACCCTGTGAATTGGGACTTAGAACAGACTGGGAAGCAAGAAGCCTCCTGCACATAGCCTTAGGAACCTGCTTTCCATGGTGGTTCCTGTTGCCCCACAGTGAAGATGGTAGGGTGACTGTTGACCCATGTGCCGGACCTGGGGTCTGTACTGACCTCCCAGCACTGCCCAGCACTCCTGTCACTGAGTCTGCAGGTCAGCCATGTGCTCTCTCCTCACACTCACATTCCAAGCTCAATTAGTAGAAGCCTGATCTTATATCCTCACTACAGCAGCACATTAAAATGTCCTCGAATAAACCCTGGATTAGCATGTGCCCAGACTTTATCTTAATTGTCGATTAAGATTAATCCCTCCAAGAAATTCCCTAGAGCTGCTTTATCACCAGGAGGGTGAATCCTTCCATATTTGGGGTTACCAGTTCTACTTAGCTTCCTTGACGAAAACGGAAGACCCAAACTCTCTGGCCTTCAAGGACGGGCCTGTTTATTGCTCCCTGACAATCTCCCTGCACGGCTCATTTGCACCTGAAGTTTGGGAGATAAGGCCTTGATCATCTTGACAAGCATTGAACACAGGTTTCTGGCAGGAACTTGGCTTTCAGTTTATCTATGGTGAACTTTGATGACATTCTCTATGCACCTGGTGTTGGGTTATTGTTCACAATGATTTACTTATGGAATGTTGTCTGTCTATCTGTCTATCCATCAGTTTTTTCTGAATCATTTGAGGGTCGGTCAGGTATATGTAGTAAGGTCCTTTAACCCTAAATACCTCCGTGTGCATTTCTAAAGAATAAGAATATTCTCTTTCATACCCATAATTATCAAATTCATAAATTTACTCGGGATACTCTATGTATGCCATCAACACTCATTTACTTTGAAATTTACTTCACTGAATAACATCTCAGGTATGCAATACTATACGGTTACCAGGGTCAGTGAGATGGCTCAGTGGGTAAAAGTACTCACTGCCCAGCCTGACAACCTGAGTTCAATCCCCAGGACCCTTCTGGTGGGAAGAGAGAGTAAGTACTTGTAAATTGTCCTCTGACAACCATGCCTGTGCACATGTGCAGGCACACAAATAAATAAAAATTTTAGAGAAAGAGAGGAAGGGGAATCTGATCATCAAAGGGGTGGGAATGGAGAGCGAAAAAACTCCCCATCTTGTACACACGCAGTTGAGAGACGAGACAGAATTTGGTAGAGGTCAGGCAATGACAAGAGTCCAGACTCAGGGTCTCAGGGCTAGCTTAGGTCTATCATATAGACATAAAGACCCAAGGGAGGTCAGGCCAGCTGCTGCTCTGGACATGTTCAGAGCCATCTGCCCACCAGATTTACATTCCAAATGCAGAGTTGAGAGCGCTGTTTTCAGGAGCATGCTTGGTGTTTACGCAATGGGGAGTAAAGCCTTGACGATAGCAGCACCCTTTCATCAAAATACCTCTTCTCTTCCAGGTTTACGATCCTGAACACTTATGAAATGGCCATCAGGGGAAGGAAAATCAGGGATGTTCAGCTACAATGTGAAAATCACTAAGAGGGGACATGGCTGAAGGTCCTTTGATAATCAGAATGTGCCTTCAGTCTGACCCAGAGTCCAGGAACTGGTGAACACTCACAGCCAAGGTATCTGGAAATTTCTTTTGTGTGTGTGTTCATGTGTGTGTGGAGGCCAGAGGTCAACCTCGAGTGTTATTTCTCAGTTGCCTTCCACCTTGATTTTTTGAGACTGGGTCTCTTTCTTGGCCTGGAGTTCACTAATTTGGCTAGGCTATCTGACCAGAAAGTCCCAGAGATCCATCTGTCTCCGCCTCCCCAGCACTGGAATTATAAGCAGGCACCACCTGTCTGGCTTTCTGAAAGTTGGTTCTGAGGACTGAATTCAGGTCCTTGTGATTATAAGGCAAACACTGCCAACGGAACTATTTACTTAGCTTATTTCTGGAGATTTTAAATGGAGTGTTTCTCTGTTTCATACCACACAGTTTCCCTGGACCAAATGGATTTCAACAGGGTATATGGTTAAGTCTGCATGGATCTATCGATATGAAGGAAATCATTAGCAGTCACCATCCAATACACAGCCCCATTCTGTGCTGTCTCCATCTGAGAATCTGCCTAGGCCAAAAGCCATTTCTGGAAGCTGCTTCATGCGGAGAGGTTCTTAAGAGATGCCCTGGAGGAATGAAGAAGTCCCAGCATCCTCCCTGAATTCCATGGCACATTTCTTCCCAAGGATCCCTCCCTAGGTGGCTGTGAGCATTACTGCTTCTAGTAAAGGAAGATGCTCCAAGAACAGAGGTGGCCCCTCTCGCTTCTCCTCCCTTCTTCACTAAGCCACTGTCTTAGTAGCACCTGAGAAGTATCAAGAGATATGTCATATCTAGGTCACTCAAATGTCTTACTACTGTCTTTATCTTTTATTCTTTTCCCTGAAATATCTGAGATGTGCCTCCTTTGTCACTGTATCTCAGAATGGACAGATGTCATCTGTGGGTTTTTTTCTAGAACATTCCAGTCTACCTCCACCCCCAACACAGAGATCTTATTTTCATACTAAAGCTGAGCACAAGAATTGAGGTTGAAAACTTTCTCTTGGTAGAAGCCACATGATAACCATGTTCCTTAGATTCTGTTACAAAACAACCATTGGCTTTAAGTGGAAACCTGAAAATTTAGGGTAATTACAGTATCAATTCATGATTACTGAATGCATTCCCTCAACTTCCTTTGTGACTGATATTTGGAGTCTATTACTGTAACCTTCTCTGAAAAAAGCATGTTGTCCCTGAAACTAGATGTCTGTGGGACCTGAGACATCCCACACCCCTGAAGCTTCTCAGCTATGAATCATGTGGCTGCCCAAAACCGGTTTACTCTCTTCTTTCTTCTGAGTTTTTCTCTCATAAGTTCCCTCCACTTGTAACCAGCTTCCAGAATACCTGCCTTCAGCCCTAGCAGTAACATGAGTCTGAATGGATGGGATTTCTATATTATTCTAGACCAAGCTACAAATGATCAGCTTCCCCACTGAGGCCCGATGGCAGTATTACGAGGCTTTAACTTGACGGGGGCTCACTTTGTTAATAGAATTCTCTCTTCAGTTGTTTGACTATGTTAATGTTGCTAGAAGAGGGGAAAAAAAAAAACACCCTCATTTTCCTATATGTAAGCCATTTTAAAATTTGTGTGTGCGTTCTCCTGAGCAGATCTGTTTCCCGGCCCCCCATGGAGACACTGCAATTACCATCTTCTTTTTATCCTTATAAAAACTAATATCTTGCTAGGCATGCTGCCAGCACTACTCAAGCTTAGTTCTGATAAAAATCCTTCTGGATATTTCTAGTGTAAGCTTTTCCTTGTTACTCATGTCATCCCCTGTGTTTTCACACTCCCAGGATGTATATATGCACACACACATGCATGCACACAATGCAGTTATGCCTACCTATGATCGAATCTAAGTCAACATATTCCCTCAGGAGAACAATTCTCTCTCTCTCCCTCTCTCTTTCTCTCTCTCTCTCTCTCTGTCCTATTAATGAACAGTATGTTGTTGCCGATTTGTGGGGAGCTTAATTTAATAAACATAGAAAGATGAATATGCTCATGGGCCATCAAACCTCTTTAGGTTTCAAATTACTGACATGAAGAATTGTCTTGTGAAGCACCCAGTCCTTTCACAGCTGGGTCGTTATGGAATAGATGTTGCAGGGGAACAGGTTCCTACTGTGGGCTTTGACTTCTCTGCCCTCTGCCTCCATCTCTCCCTAAGTGCCCCAGGAGGCGTCAGATCTGCAGATGTCAGCAATGCCTGTATGTGAACTAGTTCAACTTAAACTCTGTGGCTTCATCTCTATAGGCAATTCAATGGGAACCTGAAATTTTGTTGCAGGGCAAGGTATTTTGCTGGCTCAGTTAGAACTGAGTTGAGACAGCTGCCAAGACAGCAGGCCTGCCTCCAGGAGTAAGTGCCCTTCTATCTTCCTCTTCCTCCCTTGCTAGTCTTCCTAGACCTACTTTAGACCAAATCCTACCCTCTCAGCCCCACTCTCCCTGCTCCTGATGGGGGGAAAGCCCCAAATCAAAGCATAAAATTTGGGTTCAGTTGGGAATGTGCTTACTTTTCAGTGCAGGTGAACAGGAACAAGTCCTATCCCCCAGTCTGGGTCTCCTAAATCCATGGCAGACATTAATAATTGATCACAGATAGGATTCTTTCCAATTAATACCTAATGCAGCCCCCAAATTTTCACCACAGAACTTCAAGCAGTCACTACCAATCAACAGAGTTCACATGTGAGTTAAATTCCATGTACATCCCTGGGTTAAGACACTGAGCTTAGACACGAGGGCGTGAGACCAGCTCTGTTCCTTACAAATAGCATGACTCTGAGGCCTGAGTCCAGGTTCGGAGGAGTGAGTGGTAGTTATTGTGAGTTCATGATTTGTTTTTCTTTCTCTCTCTCTCTCTCTCTCTCTCTCTCTCTCTCTCTGTGTGTGTGTGTGTGTGCACAAATCTGTATGTGTGTGGGCACAAGTGTGTGGAGGTGTCTTCATATGTGTACGCATACAAGTGGAGGTCCAAGATTGATCTTGGGAATCATCCTTAATCATGCTTATTCATCCAGGTAGGGTCTCTCAATCGAATATAGAGCTCACTGATACGCCTTGTCTTACTGCTCAGCATATTCAGAGAGTCCCCCGTCACTACTTTCCTAGACTGAAACTACCAGTGGGCTTCTACCACCACGCAGCATTTACATGGTTTGAGGGATCTCAACTCTGGTCCTAATGCTTGGGCAGCAAGCACATAGCTGCTGCTCCAGCCAGAGCATAGGAGTTTTTATCTGTGCCAACCACTACCTAGTCACCGGATCAATAACTCTAGTTAACAGCTCTGGAGGCATTCAGTCCAGTCCTGACCACTCTGTTTAACTTGAAACCCGCCTCCCCTTATCCAAGCTCACCCTTTCTCATACCCTCGGTGTATCACCTTCTAACACACTGCACAGTTAGGTGACTGACCTCTGTCTATTACTAATTTTTGGTCTTCTCCCTGCAATAATATAAATTGCGCTAAGGCCCAGATTCTTGTTCATCTTACTGAATTATCCCTATTAGCTTGTTGGTTGGTCACAGGTGCTGAGGAAACACTAACCAGAGAAACAGGTGTTGTTCATCCACACAGCAGTCCTTACACCCTAAAGACGCCACAGGTCCTTTATGACAGCAGCAAATACAAACCAAGAACAACACAAAAGCAAAGGCCTGGCATACCTCAGTCCTCAAGAGCAACAAGGAATCCTGAGTTAAGGGGAAGCATGAAACGAAACCAAAGCCAGGAAAACAGGCAGAAGTCACAAGAAGCTCTGTGATATCACTGAAAAGTCCCTGGCCTGCTTTTCAGAAGACCCTGGAGGAAATCTCAGCTTAGCACAAACTGGCCGTGTGACCTTGATGTCGTCAAGCCTCTCTGTGCCTCAGCGCTCCATCTAAGTTAAACTTGATTCAGCTCAAATATTGACTGACTACCCACTACTACCTAAGTTTGATGGTTTGTGGGAGAGAAATTAAAATTGCATTTCCTAGACTAGAGAGTGGGTTTATTGGGTAAAGGCACCTGCTGCTAAGCCTAATAACCCTGAGTTCGATCCCTAGTGCCCACATGGTGGAAAGAGAGAACGGACTCCCACAAAGTATCCTCTGACCTACAGAGAGAGAGAGAGAGAGAGAGAGAGAGAGAGAGAGAGCGCAAGAGAGAGAGAAATGTAAATTAAAAAATAATAACTAAAGGAAATCTTGTGTTTCTTGCCTCCCCCTCCCTCCTCTAGTTACAGAGAGCCCTGGACAGATCCCATTTAAACATCCTTACTCAGCAGAGCAGGCATTTAAACCAAGAGGCGAGGTAGTGGGAGCCCCTCCACAGAGCGGAGGCCAGGTGTGCATCTCTAATAACCAAGTTGGAGACCCGAGAATCAAACAGCCATCTCGAGGAAATGAGAAATGAGCGAAATAGTGATAGTCGAGGCATGCACTGAACTGCTGAGCCAGGGGTGTGCGGATGCTGTTGCAAATGGCTTAGGAAGCATCGCTAAGGCGAAAGTGGGTTACCACGGCCTCACGAAAGCACATCTGGAGGGTCTCGCTGCTCTCCTGCAACCTTGAATATTGAACCCAGGGAAGGAAATTGACTCGCTGTTTAATCCAATAGTCAATACATACTCCTGTTGTATAGACTCCACTGAGTTAAAACTCAAGCCGTTGCCTCGGGCGAGAACAATCTAACCCACCGTGCAGGCCTGGTGTTCAATACACATCACAGCTAGGCGATTCTTCAGTAAGAAACAATTATCCCAAACTGCATCTGGTAGGAATGGTCAGTGCTCTGAGATCAAAGTGGCTAATAATTTTTGGATCTGACTTATTGAAGAGCTAGGCTCTAGCTTGTTATCTGCATAAGTTGTAATGGTTCTCTAATGAAATTAGGTTATTGTGATTTTTTTCCCCATGCTGAAGGAACTATACCTTTGTTTCCACATTCAGACAGAAACTAAACACCTCCAGGTCCATAGAGCCACCTTCCGTGAAGGCCTCTCAGCCATGCATACCCTTGGGTGATGTGTCAAACCTAAACCAGAACACAGCCCAATTACCAGGCTGGGGACAATTACGTTTCTAGCTGTCTTACTACTGCAAGAAAACAGGTTAAACCAGCAGAGCTGCACGTAAAATTATATTGAATATTCTGTTTTAAAAAAAATGACATTTGTGTGCATGCAGGTGCTTATAATGTATAGAGGAGCATGTGTACATGTGTACTGGTGGTGTGGAAGCCAGAGGACAACCTTGGGCGTTATTCCTCAGGAGACACCCACCTTAGTTTTGAGCGAGGGTCTCTCATTGGCCCATTAGGCTAGACAGGCTGGTGCCAGGGGTCTATCTGTCTCCACCTACAGTGCTGCATTTACAAGTACCCAGCTTCTTTACATGGGTTCTGGGGATCTGAACTCAGGTCCTCGTGTCTGTACAGCAAGCACTTTATCAAACCAAGCCATCTCCTCAGCCTTGAATATTCTTTAGTGCCTTACACCTAAACTCTTCTGCCTCACAGACTCTGACTTAAGGAAAGGCAAAGGATCAATGCTGAATTTTCTGAGAACTGATGGATTTCTTTAACAAAGAACAGAATCTGCCTATGGTCAGCCCTTCAGAGTTGGAAGAGATGTTTCCTGCTTTGCTTGGGGAAGATGGCTGGTCACTCTCGGTCTTTTCTTGCTTTGCGGTCCCTTGTCTAGGGTCTCATGAACAGCACCCTGCCTACTGGTGGAAGGCTAGCCATGTTCTCCTGAGTGTGGGCATCAATCTTATTACTTCTTACTCTCCTTCAGAGGGGAAGTTGTGACAGTCTGGCAGAATCCCTTTGAGTTTCAGGTTCAGACATCCCCAGAACTCAAAGTAAAAATGATACAGACTTAATAACAACTTCCCGGGAAGTCTTTGCAAGTTCAAAGTGGATTGTAAACATTAATTAATCAATTCCCCCTCTCAACACTGTGTGAGGTATGAATTAGTTCCATTTTATAGATGGGAATGGTGAGGTGGGGAGCCTGTGTGACTTGCTTCAAGTCTATGTGGAGGAAGGCATGAGCTAGCTGGATTTCTGTGTGTAGTCAGTCCCCCACCACCATGATAGGACCAGGAAGAGAGCTGCCTGGTATGCCTACAGTGGTTAATATGGTCACTTCCAGGTTGATTCCATGTCTACCTTTTCGTAGCTTTCCAGTCTCAAGGGATTGCCTTCTTCCAAGACAACCAGGAGGAGAGCAGATCAAGGGCTCGCAACTGGTCAGTTAGATGACCAAGGCTTCCTGCTTATTGCCTAAGAGCGCCCTGAATGCAGACCTGGGTTTGACCAGCCTAATAGGTATGTCATCTGTAAACTTGGTCATTCAGTATACCTGTAGCCAAGACAGGAGGGTAGGACTGTAAGAGTGTGGTGTGGCTCAAATAACATATGAATACATACAAATGTGTGTGTGTATGTGTGTGCGTGTGTGTGTGTGTATTGAGAGAGAGAGAGACAGAGACAGAGAGACAGAGAGACAGAGAGAGAGAGAGAGACTGGCTAATGGAC